ATAGGCCATCTGCCCTTCAAACTGGCCTTGCTATGAGCTAATACATCAATTTCAAATTCCTACCTGCTCATAGCAGTTCAGTTTTTGTATTGTTCTCACTGAAAAGCTGGGGAGCAGACCTGAATTCATCTCTCCGTTCCACGGCTCTAGTAAATTACTCCCCGTGTCTGAAACACAGCACCTTCACTTCCTATGTGTCTTTCTAGAAGATAAATTATCATTCTGGGGAAAAAATAAATGCTCTGTGCAAGATGCTTTAAAGAGTAATTTATTAGGAAGTCCTCTACAAACTCGTTTCAGCACTGGGGATGCATGTACTAGAGGCAGAAGAATCTGAAACATGGCAGTTGCCCATAACTGAGATTGCTGCTGTGTGTCCAGGGGCAGCCGTGGGCTCCATGCCCACATCTGCATGACATGACTGGAGCTAGAACAAGAGCTCCAGCTTGAGGTAGGGAGGGTTTTACAAGGAATTTGCTACATGCTTATTGCATGTTATGCATAAAACATAGAAGGGACTATGCAGGATGAAGGGGAGGAGCAGACACAATCACAAGGACATCGGCACCATGCTGGACTCAGAATACGTGAGATCAAAGTAGTTACTGGAAGGTGATGTAGGGGAGTGAACCAAGAGAGGAGGATCTAAGAGTTTTCCCTTAGGTCTAAAAGAATAACCTGTATAAAGTTTCATTTCCAGAGTTCTTCCAAAGGTTTATTCTGAACCTCCTGCATGGTTTTCTCTGCAATGGACTTGATTTCTCTGTGCAAGTCTTCTATGCTCTTTGAAGCATCCATTACCTGTTTCCAGGACAAAAACCACAGAAACATGTTCTTCAATTAATGATACCAGGAAAAACTCACCTTGCTACTGTCTGCTCCCTCCATTACTCAATGCTGATACTATTCATCAGCAGTGAAAGGAGTTAATTACACATCCTGTTTTATATGGTTTCTGGAATGGAACTAGAAAAATCTGTTTTATTTAGGAATAAGCCTGTAAGAAGTAGATGTGGGGCTGGATGAAGGGAAACAGAAGAAACTGCTGCTGCTGCATGTTGTTTGCTGACAGTCTTCGAGACATGGAACATAAAAGCAGGTAAACATTCTTAATCCTGTACTGTAGTCCCTGAGAAACATCCACCCATGATAGCAGAAACCTCTAAAAATCCATCATGTGATGTCCCACTTTCAGATTTGCTGGTTTTTAACTACTGCAAGCTAAGGGCAGTGAAGGTGGTAGAGCTGAGAAAGCTGTCAGCATGAGAACATGATGCTGGTGTTCCCAGGCTGACATTTGAAGACCAGCAATCATCACTCCCATGCAGCTGAGGGAGTGACTGAAGTGTACAAAGGATTTGGTGATGTAGAGACGTGCAGATTTATTGCAGTGACCTCTGCAATGCTGGCCCACACAACACTGCTGAGGAACAGCAGCTGTGAGGATACACAATAAACAGACTTTGTGATTAAACTGTAGCACAGCCAGCATCACACCTTTGTGCTCACACAATATCCTCCAGTTATTTGTGTAACCAAGCTAGGTTTCATGCTGTGTTTCAGAGGGTTCTTTGGCAATGTCTGTCTGTTATTCTAACTGAGGGGCAAAGAGACAGGAATGCTAACTATACCTTTAATGTGTACTGAAACTGGATTTCCACACTTATTTCAGGGACACCTCTTCACCATCTATTCTGCTATTTATCTGTTTGACAGTTGTGCACTTTGGGATATTGTACACCCAAATAAGTCTTCCCCCACCCCAACAGGGTGTTAGCGTTATTTCCTCACCTTCCAGTTTAATGTCTTGTCTGTCATCAGATGATAGAAGGACTGTAGAACTTTCTCTTGGAAGGCGCTGTTCTCATAACGTTCACTTCCAAAGTTCCCTCGTTTTGCTGCTTCTTCTGGGCTTAACTGAAGAAACAGAATCAGATCTGGCTTTGGGAGTCCAATGTCAGGCTGTTTGCACCACTCCAGGCAGAAGTTCTGTCCCAGACAGAAGATAACCAAGTTTGAGGTGAAAGAAAGAAATCCAAAGAAGGTAAAGCAGCAGGTTAGCTAAAGAGTGGGTGGGAAAGGCATAGGGAGAAAAGACAGGAGATGCAGCCTGAAACACTAAGCACATGCTACAAACTGAAAGGGTGATATCCCAGCTTACCATGTGAGAATTCAGTCCTGGTAATTTTTGGGGGCAGGTTTTACTAGGTGCTGTGCACCTCTCACGATCATTTAAGTCGGACAGCACTAAAGATTTTAACATCTCTTCTGCAGAGCCTAACAGAGCAAAATACCAAGTCATATTCTGAGTCTCCACACAGCTGTTGCCTGTCCAAAACTTGTGATCAGTCCAAAAGAAAGCTGCTCCCAAATAAACTGCACTGCTTCAGTGTAGATCTTTCTGAGCCCAGTGTGAGGTTAAGGGAGAGGATTCTCCCTCTCTGTTCTTCTGAGACACCCTGTGCAGTCGTGTGTTCAGCTCTGGGGGCAACACCACAAGAGGGATGTGGAGTTGCTTGAGTGAGTGCAGAGGAGGCCATGAAGATGCTGCAAGGGCTGGAGCACCTCTGCTATGGAGACAGGCCAAGAGAGCTGGGCTTGTTCAGCCTGGAGAAGAGAAGGCTCCAGAGACACCTTAGAGCAGCTTCCAGTACTGCTCTAAGTACTGGGGAAATGAATGGGGAATGGCTTTATGCTGTCAGAGGGGAGATTTAGATTAGATATGAGGAAGAAATTCTTCCCTGTGAGGTTGGTGAGGCACTGGCACAGGGTGCCCAGAGAAGCTGTGGTTGCCCCATCCCTGGCAGTGTTTAAGGCCAGGTTGGACAGGGCTTGGAGCAGCCTGGTCTGCATGGTAGGGGGTTGCATGACAGGGGGTTGGAACTGGATGAGCTTTAAAAGCTCCCTTCCAGCCCAAACCATTCTGTGGTTCTATGAATACAGAGAAAAGCAGGGGCTACTGCAGGTCTCACTCACCTGTTTGGCACTTGTGAAGGCCACTCCAGAAAAGGCGTATCTGTCAACTACAAGTGTGATCCCCTTATGCAGTTTCTCTTTCATCAGTGGTCTGAAAACCATGTGGTAGAGAAAAGTTACATTCCTTCACAGCAATACAAATGAAATGAAGTTCATGAGGCTGCTGATTCCCTATTAATATATGTCATCATTAATGGTGACCATCAGTGGTGTCAGGGTTATCTGTGATACTGATTGCATTTAAATAGCAACTTCCAGAGCCTAAAGGGGGCCTTACAGGAAATCTGGAGAGGGGCTTTTTGCAAGGGCCTGAAGTGAAAGGACAAGGAGGAACAGCTTTAAACTGACAGGGGAGATTGAGATTAGATACTGGGAAGAAATTCTTCCCTGTGAGGGTGCTGAGGCCCTGGCACAGGTTGCCCAGAGAAGCTGTGGCTGCCCCATCCCTGGCAGTGCTCAAGGCCAGGTTGGACAGGGCTTGGAGCCACCTGGAAGGTGTCGCTGCCTGTGGCAGGGGATTGGAACTGGATGAGCTTTAGGGTCCCTTCCAGCCCAAACTATTCTATGAGTCAGTTCCTTTTTTATGTGGTTTAGTAGATTTGTGATACACTCTGCCTCAGTCAGAGAAAAGCATCCTTTATTCACAATGACTTCTCACAGCTTCCCTATGCTTCTCAGTTTGATTGCCACAACTACAGCAAAGATTTATTATTTTTTTCTTAATTAAAACCCTTTCCAGTGTAGGTTTCCAGGTAAAAACAACAGCCAACACTAACTTCCCTAGCTGCACACAGACTCAGGAGCCAAAAGGACCAACAGCTGCTTACAGCTGAATGCAGCCTTCAGCTAAAGTTCAGACATGATTCCTTAACTATTCTGTCCCTCACACAGGCATCTCTGCAAAGCAAGGTCTCTTCATTCAGCAAAAGACGTGTATTCCTATTCCAGGCTGGTATAGTCTCAGCTGCCCCATTCTGATGCCAGTACAGCACTGGAAATATCTGCATCTAATGATTCCAAAAAACCAAACTGTAGGATTTGACCTACGATCAAATCCAAAGCTGTGAGAGTTCTTAAACTTGGAATCTTGGGTGACATGGTTTAGTGTGAGGTGCCCCTGCTCATGGAAGGGGGACTGGAACTGGATGATCTTAAGGCCCTTCCCTACCCTAACTATTCTGTGATTCTATGAGACATTATTTCCAGACATGCTTCCCTTACTAAACAGGATCATACTCTCGTAACTACTACAAGCTAAAACCCCGGGAGCATTCAACACCATGCAATTTTCTTTTACATCTTAAACATTATATTTACACATGTTCCCAGCGGTTAGCAGAGAAGAGCAGGTGAATGGTGTGGTCCTCCAGGTTCTTATCCTTCACCAGGTAGGAGCTGATCAGCTGCCCAATCTCCGTCGTTCTCTCTATAGGAAATACAGGGTGAAGGATCAAATGCTGCCCCAAGCTGCTCTTGCCACAGGGGTGTCCCTCTGTCCGCGGAGACACATCAGTCTGCGGTCTATCTGCTTGTCACAGGTGGGACACAGTTGGTCCATCCGCAGCTGGGGGTATGTGCGGTAGGGACAGGAAGAGGTTGGCGCTGAATATGCTACAGAGCCCTCGGATGGCCCCCGGGGACCGCGGCCCGGCCTAGCGGGACCCCCCCACACCCGACCCCCGGCTCCCTGCGGGTGGCTGCAGGCCCCGTACCCGGGAAGCGGAGCAGGTCTGCGCAGAACCCGGCGGCGCGCAGGGCCTCCACCAGCCGGCGGCACTGCGTGGTCTTCCCGGCGCGGTCCACCCCCTCCAGCACGATCAGCGCGCCCCGCCGGCCCGCCATCGCGCGCGCTCCGCTCGCCCCGCCCCTTCCGCCAGCGCCCGGCCAATCCCGGCGAGCGCCCTCCCGGGCCGCTCTAGGCAGCGGAAGGGCACAAAGGCGCCGAGGTCCTTCAGGAAGACGGCGAGGCGGGAAAAGAAACCCCGCCCCCTCCGGGCCCGCCCCTCATGAATATGCAGCAGGAGCGTCCCGGGCCGCCAATAGGCAGGCGGCGGGCTATGAATATGGGATGAGGCAGTGGCTGCGGCCTTTGTCATGCGGGCCCGGGAGGCGGCGGGAAGCGGTGGCGGCGGCGGGGTGCGAGTCGAAAGATGGCGACCGCCATGTACCTGGAGCACTACCTGGACAGTGAGAGCGGGGCGCGGTGCAGCCGGGGCGGGGGGCAGCACCCGGAGGGGTGATGGGGGTGCTTGGGGCGGCGGAGGCCGCAGCTGGAGCGGCTGCGGTGCGGGAATTAGAGCTGCGCCACGGGCTGAGCGGGCGGGCGGGGCCGTGCTGTGTCATCAGCCGCCGCGGCGGCGCGTCATCGCTGTGCGGCGGGGCTGGAAGGCATGGCGGGCGCCGGCTCGCTGACGGGCAGCGGGAGACCCGCGGCAGGCGGGTGAGTGCTGGTCCCACGGGTGCAGCAGCTCGCGTGGTGTGAGCGGGCAGCTGCTGGAGCGCGTCCAGAGAAGGGCAGTGGAGCTGGTGCAGGGCCTGGAGCACAAGTGTGATGGGAACGGCTGAGGGACCTGGGGGGTTTAGTCTGGAGAGGAGAAGGCTCAGAGGGGACCTTATCACTCTATAACTACCTGAACGGAGGTTGTAGTGAGGTGGGGTCGGTCTCTTCTCCCAAGTAACAAGCGATGGGACAAGAGGAAACGGCCTCAAGCTGCATCAGGGGAGGTTTAGTCTTCACTGAGAGGGTGCTCATCTATTGGAACAGGCTGCCCAGGGTAATGGTGGATTCACTATCCCTGAAAGTGTTCAGAAAACATGTAGATGAGGCCCCCAGTGATACGGTTTAGTGGTGGCCTTGGCAGTCCTGGGGTAAAGGGCTCATGGTCTTAAAGGCCTTTTGCAACCTAGTTGATGCCATGGTCTGCAGTACGTAGAACTAAATGTACATTTAAGTGCAGGTCGCCTGTGGTGCAGGCTTTGTCCTTGGAAGGCTTCCAGTCATGAACAAGGGCCATGTGCTGCCTCTGTGTCTGCCTGCCTGTGTACATGTAGCACAGCAGTGGGTGATCCAGCCGCTGGCTCCTTAAGGCAGCAAGACCTGCAGCTCTATTCAGTGGTACATGGCTATGGAGGGATGGCCGCCACGGGAAGAACAGGATATAGGATTGCTTGGTCTTTGTGTTTCAGGTATCGAAAACCTGCCCTGCGAGCTGCAGAGGAACTTCCAGCTGATGCGGGAGTTGGATCAGAGAACAGAAGGTGTGTTCAGGTGTTCCGGTAAGCAAAGTTTGACAGAGACCTTCGACCTGAAGGACAGGAACAGCCTTGTGGAGACTTGGCTTTAGAGGATGGGTCTCCCTCTCCTTTTCCTTTTCTCATGTTCAGTGCTGTGCAGCACTTGCCTCTTTTCTGCAGGGGCTGCACCTCACAGGACTAGATTTCTTTTCCGCAGTTGCACATTAATTTGCAGCTGTGTGATTGCCGTACCCCATGGCCCCGTGGATGGCCCTGCTTGCATGTATTTCCACATGGACTCGGTTGCAGGTTGCTGTGTTTCTTGCAAGACCAGGGTTTTTTTCCATTTTTTGAGCTTTGTGTTGGTGTTTGGTTGCACGTTAGCAGTTTTCGATTAGAACAGTTAAAATGATTAATGAGTGTGCAGCAAATGCGGTGTGCTGCATATGGGAAGAGAGGTTGGAGTTTGTGAGCCTGTGGGTTAAGTTTCTGATCCTAACTGAGACTCTCCTCTGAATTAACTGTAAAACAGTTGAGAAATCAGAATCTCGCCATGAGTACTTGTCGTGGTTTAAACCCAGGCAGACAGCTTCCACTCACTCACTCCCCCCCTTCTTGCTCTCCCCCTACTCCTGGGGGAACGGAGAGGAGAATCACAAAGAAATGCAACTCCCATGGGTTGAGATAAGAACAGTTTAGTAACTAAGGTAAACACAAATCACTACTGCTCCACCAATAATAGTAATGATAAAGGAAATAACAAGGGAAAGAATACAACACCCCATCACCAGGCGACCGATAACTTGCCCCCCAGCCGACAAGCACCGACCGATACCTCCTCCAACCCTGAGTCCATCTCCCCTTCCGGCCACTCCCAGTTACATCCGGGCATGAGTGCTGTGGTATGGAATACCTCTTTGGTCAGTTTGTCAGGCGGCTCCCTCCTCCCTGCAGAGCATGACCACAAAGTCCTTGGCCAAACCAAAACATCATTTTTATCAGCTCTGTTCCCAGCCGAAATAAAACACAGCACTGCACCAGCTACCAAAAAGAGAAAAACCCCAAACCCAACAGTACTGAAGAATGAATACCTTTAACTCTTCTTTTGGGTTGTTTGGGCTTTTTTCTAAGGTGAGTACATTAAAGAGTCAGAGGAATTCCAAAACCTGTCAGGAGAGGTCTTCTAAATACCATTAAGAGGTAGAAGAAAAAAATACTTGCTTTAGCATACGGCTTTCTCACATGTATACGCTTTGCTTTTCAGATAAGAAAGCAGAAATTGACAGTCTTGCAGCAGAATACATTGAATCAGTGAAGAACATGTTACCTGTGGAGAGAATGGAACACCTGAAGAAGATCCAGAGTGCCTACAGCAAATGTAAAGAGTACAGTGATGATAAAGTCCAGCTGGCCATGCAGACCTACGAGATGGTGAGTGTCACAACCAGTGAGAGTTTGTAGGAACGTTCATACCATGGAATGGGGCTGCTGGTGCACATGGAAGATGCTTCCACAGTGATGATTTTCTTTGATGTGTTTATACTTAAATATCTTACTGAAACAAATTATTAATCCTTAATCTTACTTTTCTGTTTCCTTCCTCAACCCTTTTGAGTTACTGGGTTTAGTCATGCATGGTATTATAGCCACAGAACCACAGATTGGTTTGGGTTGGAAGGGACCTTAAAACTCACCCAGTTCCAACCCCCTGCCATGGGCAGGGACACCTTCCACTAGACCAGGTTGCTCCAAGCCCTGTCCAACCTGGCCTTGAGCACTGCCAGGGATGGGGCAGCCACAGCTTCTCTGGGAAACCTCTGCCAGTGCCTCAGCACCCTCACAGGGAAGAATTTCTTCCTAACATCTAATCTAAATCTCTCTTCTGTCAGCTTAAAGCCATTTCCCCTTGTCCTGTCAGTAGGTGTCCTCGTAAAAAGTCTGTCTCCAGATTTTCTGTAGGCCCTTTTTAGGTGTTGAAAGGGCACAGTAGGGTCTCCCTGGAGCCACCTTTTCTCCAGGCTATGCAAGTCAAGTAGGCTTCTCTTCTGGTGAAGAGTTAAATGAGTTTATCCCACTTGGAGATCACTTGATCTAGTAGTACCCATCTGCTGTGTAACAATACCACCAAATTGACCCTACTCTTTCCTTGCCAGGAGCTTTCCTGTCACCCAATAATTTGTTTAGGGCTGGTCTGAGTTGTAAGCAATGTTTTTTGAGTCAACTTCAAGTCTGTGTTGGGGAGGAGTGGAATAAAATCTGCTCAGTTACCTTTGTTTCCAAGTGGCAAAAGAAAACAAACCTGTCAGCTCCACTTCTCTGGTTGTATACTGGACACTAAGCTTTCCTCAGTGGACCTTTCTTAAGATTTAGCTTTCCACTTTTTTTCTTCTTCTGCCCCTACTCCTGTTTAGCTGTCCCTTGAGCAATTCTTATCTCTATATTTTATCCCTTAGACAAAACTTGAGCAAAGGCAGTCCTTCTGACTGTACTTGGTGTGTTTTGTCTAGGTTCTAGGGATGCTTTGGGTTCTACTGCAGCTGCAGTACAATTTATTGCCATAAATACCACAGAAAAGGAACTTGCTTCATAGGAACTGAAAAGTATCCTAGATACCTAAATTGAGAGCTAAGTATTACAGCAACACTGTTTGGTGGCTTAAAATGCTTTGCTATATGTCTGTTTTGTAAGCCATGTCATTGCAACCAGGGGAGTACAATATTTAATGTGTATTGGCTTAACATTGGAGATACCTGGCAGAAGTCTGTATTTATCACTTAAATTCTAGCATGCCAGTGGGGCACCAATAAAAATAGACTGATATTCTCAGCACGTGTTCATGGACAACAGTTGAATAATGTGTTTTGAAAATTGCAGGGAGTCTAATATTTGAGCACCTTCCTCCCTTTCTCTTTGTCTGCAGAGGGATTAGGTCCACTTGCTTTTGCCTATTTTCTTTTTTTTTTATGCCTTGATTCCCCCATTCCAGTTTGGCAGCCCTTTCATGCCCTGCTCTGAAGTAGTATACCCCTGTTCGCGCCGATAACAGCCATGTTATTAGACCTTCCTGTTTTCATTTGGGGATTTTAATGTGTTTTTTTTCATTCAGTTTGTGGTTTCCTCCTCTGTGCAGGTGGATAAGCATATCCGCCGGCTGGATGCAGACTTGGCCCGGTTTGAAGCAGATCTGAAAGATAAACTGGAAGGCAGTGACTTTGAAAGCCCTGGATCTCGAAGCCTGAAAAGTGCGTACATCTTATACGTTGGTTGACAGCCTTTTCCAGCACTAAGTACATCTGACCCAAAAGGCTAAGATAGAAAGTAGGCTGTTCTTTCTGGAGGAAGAATAATAGTACACCATAGTGTACTTCTCTGCTTGTTTTTAATACTCATCAAATATTTACAGTGTTCTGGTGAGCAATAAACAGGTGAAGAAAAACATTGTGCTGGGGTGTAATTTACTGTCTCTGCTTGCCAGATCACCCTGAGGTGGCCCACAGTTGTAAGGAGGGTGCTGGCCAAGGTGCAGCTGTGACAGAACTGAAGTGATGTTCTTACAGCTTTTGAGTGTAACAGTCTTGGTTTCAGGCTTGGTCTGTTACTCAGTAAGTTCTAAGCTGTTTCTTGAGGAAAGTAGATTTGCCTATTTTCCTCTTTTTACCAGAATTTGCATACTAATCCAGCTGAGAGTGACAGGAAAAAATAGAAGTTAAAGGAAGGTACCAGTTTCTCTAATGTATACTGGAAATCTCGTGTGATTACTGTGAAATCTGAGCGTGATTAACAGTAGCACAGCTTTATGCCTTTAAACTGTGAAATAAGGGGTAAGATACCAGATGTGGACATAAAAGATAATTGAGTAACTGATTAAGTGGCTGAATATTTAAAAATATAGTGAGATTTAAAAAATACTACAGCATGTCTAATCAAAGATGATGCTATTTATGTCCTGTGCAATGATATGGGGTTAACGTTTCATGCTGCTTATTTCATTTTCCATAATTAAGTGTTAGACATCTGTAAGATACATTTATCTCTGAACTGCCAGGGTTGTATAGTAGTTTCATTGTATGTGATCTTAATTTGCAGATTGTATGTGATCTTAGTTTTTAAGTACCTTTTGCAGTTAATGTATTGGCTTCTGTTGTGGTGGGCTTGGCAATGCTAGTTTAATGGTTGGACTTCATGTTCTTAAGGGTCTTTTTCAAGCTAAACAACTCTGATTCTGAATACGGCAGTGATCTAATTGCCACAACTGTGAACACAAGAATTTGCTGCTCAGTCATACTACTTGCCAGTTTGGCCTATTTGTGGTATACAAGTGTATTTCAGAATCAGCATTTGTGTAAAGTTACATATGAAGTAAGGCTTTCAAAACAAATGGCATCAAAATAAGAACATCTGAGCATGTTTCTGGGATTCCAGTAGGTTAAAACGATGGGTCTTTTTCTTTATAGAGGGACGAAGTCAGAAAGACAAAAAAGGCTCTCGTGGTCGAGGCAGGCAAACATCTGAAGAAGATACACCAAAGAAAAAGAAGCTCAAAGGAGGGTAAGGCGTAGCCTGTCACAGCTCTGGTGACTTTGGCTTGACTCTCCATGAATTTTCCACAAGCTCATGTTACCCTATTTATGACTCAGGTCTGGATTGTGGTGGTGGTAGTAGTGTGTTCTGGTCTTACTCCAGTTCATCAGTGCCCTGCTTAGAACAAGTCAGCTTTGTTAATTAGCTCCTTGGTTGGCATGTGGAAGCTCAGCATGCTCAAAATGCCCTCTTGACTGGAATGACAAGATCAGCTTTTCTGTTGCTGTTGGCAAGCTGGGAGAAAATAGCTTTGTGTTTTGTTTTTTGTTGTGTGTTTTTTGTTTGCTTTTTTTGTCCTGCAGCTATTTTTAACAGTTGTTTGTGGTCTTAATTGTCAAAAGAAACACTTGCCCGTCAGGACAAAAACTGATGATGTATTGTTCTAGAAATCGTGGAGAACTTTGGGGATTGTTTTCAAAGAATTGTCCTAGATAGTCTTAAATAATCTAACTTGGTTTTGTGACGCAAGGAAAAAAGCATATCCCCTCTCCATGATTAGGTTTATGTTAAAGGGGCTCTGTTATGATATTCTCATGTGGCTAAACAGAGGGACAGAAAACTAAAAATGGTTTCCATTGACTGTTACTGACATGTCAAGTTAATGTGTTCCTGTTAGAGTAAGAGGGTTCACTCATACCTGGCAGTGAGAGAAAGAATGTCTATTAAAACAGATTGGGTGGTGACTCAGATTCTTCTGTCCACAAGCAGAAGTGATCTGTACATTAATTTTGTTACTGTAGTCATGGCATCTACAAATCATTCTCTTAGTCCTTTGTAGTCAAACTCATGTTTTGTATTTGTAATAATTTAATATGTTCTTCATGTTACAAAATTAAACCTACCTTATGACTTTTGTCATTGGATAATCTGTGATAATGTAAGCTAAACTCTAAAGTACAATCAGTGTGTTTTAGAGAAGATACTGTTAAAAATTAATGTTCCCAAGTGGGATTTAGAGCTTGGGAACATGGTATTACCTGCAATGAAGAGTGTTTTTCCTCAGTCTGTCCTTGTTCACAGATCCGAGTTTGCTGATACCATCCTGTCAGTGCATCCCTCAGATGTCCTAGACATGCCAGTGGACCCCAATGAACCTACCTACTGCTTATGTCACCAGGTGTCCTATGGAGAAATGATTGGCTGTGACAATCCTGATGTAAGCACTTGAGATGATTTATTTCTAGATGCTTGCTACATCACATCACTGTGAAATCTGAGGGTCTTACTTGCTCAGTTAGATCATTCAGCTGTTACTTTCATTTTGTGAAACACTAAACATCTCCTGTGGCTTTTCCTTTCTGTTTTGCAGTGCCCAATTGAATGGTTCCACTTTGCTTGCGTGGACCTCACCACCAAACCAAAAGGGAAATGGTGAGTGTGACAAGAGACCACTTTTTGATTTTCATCAGTCTACAACTTGCCTCATAAGAATCACAGTAAGAATTAAAACCCCATTGTTACCCTTCCTGACAGAGGAGCTTTGCTCTTGTCATCAGAGGGTTTGCATCTTCTATGGTTTGGAATCATGTTTGTTTGATGGTAGAAGGTACAAAGGGAACTTTCTTCCTAAAGTCTACTTCCATGTAGACTTTGGTTGGAGCTAAACAGGGACCCAGGCGCATGGCAGAGGTTTTGAACTGAGGCTATGTAAAGGTATACATGTTGCATCTTAGGCTTGCTGTAGTTGAGGCTGTGCTTAAAATTGAGAAGCGTGTATGTATTGTTTCACTTCTGGAAACAAAATTTGAAGACTGCTCTAGGTTTTGCCTTTACATAAATAGGCTGCTTTTAAACTACCCTCCCACCCATTCATTCCCAAATGATAAAAAACCTTTTGGACTATGTGTTATTAATTAAAGGAACTGATTACTGTCTCTCCTTCTTTCCCTCCAGGTTTTGTCCTCGTTGTGTTCAGGAAAGAAAGAAAAAGAAGTAGCGGAATACATTTAATATTCCTTCCTTCATGTTGCAATATTATCTTTGATTATTTTTTTTAATCTACCTTCCTTCTTTTTCTGCTATGATATTTAATTGTCCAGTGGCCAGTTGTAATTCCAGTCCTTTCAAGTGAAAATGGCTTTCAGAGGGAGCCCCAAATCCCTTTGCCACAGGTATTTTATTTATGTTATACTTGCACAGCACTGAAATTGGTGTTACTATGAAGTGCTAGGGCAGCCAGTAGCTGTAGTCTCTAGTTTACTGGAGTCTGTGAAACCACGTAAGGCATTGCAGGAGAGTGAAATGCCTCAGTCCAGTGTGGTGCATCACCATCACTGAAACAATTTAGCCTGGAGCTTGATGTGTTTAGAAGGAATTTTCTCTGATGTAGCCTGCATGAAAGAAAGTAGGTTTCACTGTTTAGGTGTGAAGTCTGTCTGGTTTGCAGTTTTGTAGTACAGAAAGAAACAGGAAAGCTGGTTCACTGTTTCCAGTGTCTGTTTCCTCAAAGTTTTGCTGACATAGGGTTGGGAGAGAGGTGAGATTAAGTCTTCTCTTTGGGGAAATTTCTTCTGTCTGCCTTTGCACTGCCTTTATTTTACTTAATCTTGCCCTCATTCACATGAACCTTAAGCAAACCATTTGGCTTTTCACCTCCTAGAAAACGTTTGTCTTTTGGGGGAGAAAACCTTTAAAAAGCAAAGGATTTGTCCTGCAGTTTCTTAGTGACAGTAGTACTGATAGAGGGTGTTACCTTTCCTGGCTGTTTCCATTTCTCTGAAGATCTTTTAAGTACATTACTGTGAAGATGAAATCTAAAGTATTCTAATAGAGATAGAAGGTCGGATTTGTTCATAAAATAGGGTGAAGGCCTGGCTTTTGTAACTTGTGTTTGCATGTGTTTCACCTGGGTAAATCAGGAAAACAGTCTTTAGGGGAAGGCCCCCTAAGGACAATATGCATATTCCCAGGAATGTGTGGAAGCTGAAAGGCAGCCTTGTAACCTGGGGGCTGGGATGTGAATAGCATTTGCTGTGAAGCACTGCTGTTGAGTAAGACCATTCAGCAGGAATGTTTTAATGTGACTTTTGTCTTTTTGGGGGGAAGGGATGCAGTGTTGCACATTTGCATGTTCTTGATTTCTTTAAGCTGCCTTTCGGATTATGAATGTGAATCCTTGCTGTCACTACAGTGTCAGTTGCTGCAGCAGAAGGAAGAGAAGGAAATTAGGAGTAGGAAAACAAACAGAAGTCTTTTTGTTTTTTGTTCCTTCCTTCCTCTGAGTCAGTATTGGATGTAGAAGTTGAGGGAAGGGCAGAGGTGTTGTCTGCATATAAACCCCTTGCTTTATGGGGCTTACCTGCCTGCAATAAAAGATGTGGGGGAAGATGGTCGTGCTCACGGGGGGGGGACACAGAGCCCTGCAGCACCAAGGTTCATGAACCTGCTGTCTGTGATCCCTAATGGGTGTTGCTACTTTGCATACCATTGTGTCTTGGTATAGACTGCTGGAAAAGACATCAAGAAACTTCCAGATGAGCTTTTCTTCTGCTGTAAAAACAATCTGAATAAACAGTACAGAGGAAAAACCACTGCAGTCAGACTTCGGCACCTGTTCCCAAAAGAGAGAAGTTTTATACTGGCCCTCTTACTTGTGTTTTAGCAGACCACAGCTCTTGCCAATTTTCCTTCCCTGCTTTGCTCTGTTAGGATTTGTAGATGCTGCAGGTATGGCAAGAGTTACATAGAAGAAACCTCTTAATCCTGGGACAGCTTTTCTGTGAACATTTTGATCTGCATATTGCATCTGCTATGGAAAAAAAAAAGCCTGTCTGCAGTCCTGTCATTTAAAGTGTGATGCTGCACATGTGTTCACCACGTTGCATCACTCTGCATGTTGTATATGAAGTTTCCATAGTTCTGTTTACAAGATAATGTGCATTTGTCATTGTTGCTGTTGTAATAGCACCCAGAAGGCAGGCAGGCAAATGAAAAGCAGATTGCTGGAGGGGAGGAGGAGGAAGAGCAGTCACACAAACCTGACTTTAGACATGCAGTCAGCCATCTTTGTTTTTCTGTGTCTTGTTTTGGGGGAGAGCAAATTTAATCGTGATACCTCATGAGCCAGCCTGTAATTCAGTAGCCCATGAGTGAGACCTGTACCTCATTGACCTGCTACACTGGATTGATAGAGTGTTGAGTCTGTTCTGAAGAGTAGTGGTGATGCTCTTTCAGGTTTTATTTTCCCCTTCTATCCAATGGTATTTATATTACTCTTTCCTCTATTTCTCCCCAAGGCTTTATTAGTAGTGGTGTTACCATAGATCAGACATTTGATTTAAAACAATCTGAAAAATCCCACTACACCTCTCTGGAAGTCTTGCTGAAAGTATACAGTACAGAACTGTGCAGCTGTGGCTTAGTCCCTGCAAAGCTAACCACCCTCAGCTCTGAGACGTGGTCAGGTAGGACAGCAAAACACATTTTGTTAGCAAATGCTTTCTGGGGCTTGGAAAAGCAGACACTTTCCACTTTAACCAGCAAAGCAAAAATAAGCTCTGGGAGTTAGCATCAGTCCTGAAAGGGAAAGAGTTTGCTAAGGTTCATGAATAGTGTGAGGTACAACATACTGCTCTTCTTTACAATGTAAGGTCTCAAATGATCCGATACCAGCAATAAACTGTCCCACTCAGAACACACCAATGTGGGGGCTCTGACAGGCTCAGGAGTGTCTCTTGGCCAATTTTTAAGACACCTTATAGACAGAAATACCGGTAGCCTTCATATTTGCTTACTAAGGGATTTAAATCTTTCTCCTGAATTTTGAATGTACAGTGTTAAATATACTTTCATGGAGAAGGGTGAACAGGATCCACAAAGGAATGTTCCACTAAAGATTGTGGCAATACCCGAATACCTTGTGGGATTCAGCTTTATTGCAGCTTGTCCAAACTGGAGATGAAACAACTTTAACCCAATTGTTCTATTTTTTAAAGTAATTAGATCTTTGTTCCCTTTGTAAATGGAAGAGAATATAAATCTTTTTATTAAAAAAAGAAAGAATGTAAAGTAAAAAATGTATATCTGTATTTTTGGATCATGTCATAGATAATGGATATATTGTTATAAATAAAGTATTTTTGGGAACAACGATGCGGGAGAGCGCCTTGTGCTGTCGCGGTGGGCAGGGGCTGATGCATGGGGCCGGCCAGCAGGGGGCGCGCGGGGGCGGGCTGTCCCGAACGGGCGCTAGGACCCAGCGCGGTCACGTGGGACGGGAGGGCGCTGCTGAGCGCATGCGTGGTGGGCGCCCTCGGCCTATTCACGGCGGGGGCGGGGGGTCTGTTCGGTGCCCGCTGTTGCTGCCCGTACCGAAGCCGGCCTGGGGTTGCCTGGCCCATAGAGGGTTTGCCCTCTCTGAGCGGTGCGTGAGGCGGCCGCGGGTTAGCGGCCCGCTGGTCACAGTGGAAAGGAGAGTTTCTGTCCTGAGGTGCTGCGACGCGATGGGCGCCCGCACCCACCGCCGGGGTACAGCAGGGCAAAGCGGCTGTCACCAGTAGAACCTTGTCCAGCTCCTCACAGGCTGGAGGAGGAGCCCGGGTGGCGCGGAGAGGAGCGGAGCGGAGCTTGACCCTTGGCTGGGCCCCTCTGTTCAGGGTGGCCATGGGGGTTTTCCTCATGGTGCCCCGCTGCGCTGTGCGGAGGCGCTGGGCGCCGCTGAGGTGGCTGACGGGGTTCCACAGGAGCACCTCGGTACAGCAGTGCAGCACTAATGCCCTGGGGTTGCTCCAGCAGAGGAAACAGCTCCCGAGTGTGGTTCCCAGGCCGTGGGACTCGAGGTCTCGGGGCAGGAGAGCGCTCCATGCAGGCTCCTCCAGGCTCCAGGAGGTCATGCTGACCAGCGAGCGGTACGGAGTGCGGAGGCTGCCCTTCTCCCATGTGTCTGAGGGCGATGTGGCGTTCTTCGAGCAGATAATGCCAGGCAGAGTCATCACGAATGCGGAGGAACTGAAACCATTTAACGTGGACTGGCTTAAATCGGTCCGAGGTAAGTTAGCTTGCTTAGATTTCTGGTTTTGTTTAAACCTCTCTGCTTCTGTTACCAGAGCAGAATGAGAAGGCAAACAAAACCTCATATTTATTTACAGCAGACCACATCTTCACAGACCAAAATGCTCCTTTGAGAATTGCCTAATATTTGGTAATCTTTGGGGCTTTCGTTACAAAGAAATAACCCTAAGACCTATTAACTTACTGTTTATTTTTTCCTGAAGCACGTTGACAGTTAACACTTTTGGCTGGCATTCAGAGAATAAATGTGAAATTTTTAGTTGCTGCTGTCAAAGATTTCATAGGAATATAAAACCTTTCCCATTGCCCCTGCTGGCAGCAGCCTACATGTACATGCAAAGCTTTTGCAGCGCTTTAAGGGAAAGCCTGCTGTTGAGTATGTTTCGTTTAATAGTGCCTCTGCCTCACGGTGGAGGGAGCGTTGTTATTTCAAACATCATGCTTTACCACCTTTTCTGTCTGACCCCCGTAGAACCCACCTTGAGAGTCCCTTGTTTCATTGCAGGCTGTAGCAAGCTGATGTTGAAGCCGCAGACAACAGCAGAGGTGTCTCAAGTTCTCAGGTAATGTGCACCTTTTCTGCTGGGCTTTGTGGCGACGAAGCTGACGTGAGGCAGGGTATGTCATGTGAAGGGGGCTTCTGGATGTTCAGGCACTACTCAAGCGCTGGAAATGCTGGAGCTGTTTTCTTCTTGACTTCAGTGTCTTGTAGTTGAACTCTGACTCCAGCTCCCTCTTCTGCTCTTCATATCCCACCTGCGCGCTGTTTCCTGATGTACCTTTTGTTCCAGCTGCTCCCAGGACCAGAGGCACTATGTGCTGTTGCTAGCCTGGGGATATGGCAGTGATGGGTACAGGTTCCTGAGCAGGAATGTTTTCACTTAGCTGAAATTTTTCAAGGCAGAAAGGGACTTTGACCTGTGACTTGTATTCCTCAGGCCCAGTGCACTCCCTGTCCCTTGGCTTTTCTGGACTGATGGTGTCATGTCAGGATCAGTCAGACACAAAGGAGAAACTTTTGTTTGTCTTCTTTGCCTCTCCTTGCTAGGTGTGCTTGCAAAGGCTGTGGGCACCAGCAGGCTGCTCAAATCAACGTTGATGGCTTTAAGTAAATGGTCTTAAGAGTGCTTAGTGGGGAGGGGTGAGAGGTAAGCAAGTGGCTTCAGTATTGATTACTTTTCTGTTTGTTTTTTTTTGTCTGAATCAGACACTGTGCCAGTGCTCAAGAGGAGCAGTTGTGTTGAAGGATTCAGAAAGGTGTGTCTGAAAAGGTAAAGGTTAGGCCAGAATCAGGCAGTTTGAGGAGCTAATGTTTTGACTACTAAACCAGTAAGAACACTTCCCTGGTTCACTGTTGTGAGCATCAGGATGTGGGATTGCCGTTTGGCTGAGATACAGAGCTGCAGGAGCCCACTCCTGAAGTAGCCATTGGTACCATGTGGCTTTGTGCCATCCGCTGTGCAGGATCCTCTCTGAGTTCAGAGAGGATGTGATGGGGGTGCTTTGCAGGGATGTTGCAGGCTGTGAGGTGATACGTCTGAGGCATGCTTCATCATGCTACATGCTTCATCACCTGCAGGGCATTTATTTCTTAAAGGCAGGTATATGGCAGTGATATCTTAAACTGTTGTCAGAGCCCACTGAGGAAGCCAAATTGTTAACAGAAAGTGCTACATAAGTAGCTTGCTATAAATGCATGTGTGAGCAGTGGTTTCCAGGCAGATGTTTTGTGCAGATCCATAGATATGCACAGGTATTTATTGCTTTTCTCAGTGCTGGGTGAGTTCAGTAAGGAGTTGTGCTTTCTCGCTTTTGCAGTGACACTATACCTCTGTGTCAGCCTTTAGGCTAAGCGCAGCTCAATTTTAAGGAGCATTAAGCACTGTCCCAACAGTAGACATTTACGTGGAGGTGAAACACTTCTTATAGACTGGATTAAGGGCCTTAAAATGTGCAAGACTTCAGAAACATTTTTTCCTTCCAGGTACTGTTACGAGAGGAACCTGGCAGTGAACCCACAGGGGGGTAACACAGGCCTTGTTGGGGGCAGCGTTCCTGTCTTTGATGAGATCATTCTCTCCACTGTTCTCATGAACCGGATCACCAGCTTTGACAAGGTGTCTGGTAAATATTGTAGAGGCGTAAGGCACAGAAATGTGCCCCAGGCCCTAAGCAAGCCATTTCCATGGGAACCAGTAGCTGCAGAATCAGCAGGGTTCAGCACAGCAGGATCATAAGGGATGTCAGAGGCCTGTTTCATGCAGGCTCCTGCTGTTATCCTTAGGTTATAACAGTAGCAGACAAATCATACATGTGGTATTTACCTTTTTCTGAAGTATCAGCTTGTAGTGGGTTGTTTATGTTTCAGGAATCCTTGTGTGCCAAGCTGGCTGCATCTTAGAGAAGCTCAACGAGTACTTGGAGGAGCAGGGGTTTATCATGCCGCTTGACTTGGGGGCGAAAGGTAGCTGCCACATCGGTGGCAATGTGGCCACTAATGCTGGAGGCTTGCGGCTTTTGAGATACGGCTCTCTCCGAGGGACAGTGCTAGGACTGGAAGTGGTAAGGCGAGTACCTGGCGGTTCCCTTCTGTGTTTAAACCTCACTTCCTACCATTTCCTGCTGTTCTAGCCCTTAGCTGTGCCTTATGCAGACAAGTTCCTCTCCAGGCTTCCACTTTTCCTTGTATGGCTCTTTTGAGGAGTCAACAAGTGTCTTCATGCATACAGCATCTCTTATTTCTACCACAGTGCCCTCTGTCTTTACTGGCAGGAGTGATATGAGATGGCTTTCTAATCCAGAGAAGTGAAAAGAAGACAGGGAGAGATTTGGTGATCCCAGGTCACCTGCATGAGTTTGGTTCCTCTATGAAGTGGTGGGGCTCTGGAACATTCCACTAATCCCATCCTGTAGCACTGTCTTCTAGTGGCTGCTCACTCGATTTCTAATAGAGCTGTCCACTTTGGGTTTGTTTGGCTGCTGGCTTTCTCCTAGAGTCTTTGATGTACCTCAGCCTGCTTCTGCCCTGCAGGCCTGTGCCTCTGTGTGTAAAGGGTGGGATTAGTTCTAAAAGATTTTGGGGCTTGGGAGCAAAAAGTTAACAGGAAATAAGGTAGGTAGGTAACAAAAGCCTTGTTTGGTTTTATTGTGTATGCCTGGAAAGGAGAGCTTTTCCTTCTCAGGTTAGTCCCTCTAGTGTCAAAACAGCCTTTAATAACATGTCTTGGGGACATTCAGCCTTGATTTAAGGCTCAGGTGGTTGAGGGCTTACTTCATTCTGGTTAACTATGTTCACTGGTTTCAGCTGGGAGTGGAGGATCAGAGGAAAGACCTTGGGAGTGGAGTGCAGCTGGAGTCCACTGGTCATTAGCTTGGTGGTAGATGAGCTTATGCCAATAGATTTCTACATAGGTGCTTTGACTGGGTCTCTGTATTCTTACAGGTGCTGGCTGATGGCTCAGCTCTGGACTGTTTGGCCTCTCTGCGCAAAGATAACACTGGCTATGATTTGAAGCAGCTTTTTATTGGATCTGAGGGGACCTTGGGAGTTATCACTGCTGTCTCCATACTCTGTCCGCAGAAACCAAAGGCTGTGAACCTGGCATTCCTAGGTAGGAGCTGGTGCTAAGTTCACACCTGAATTCAGAGGCTGGGAAGAGAATAGGGATGCAGCGAAGAAAGCGCTGGTCAGCCTGCTGAGCTAGAGTACCTGCATTAGCTTGTTTTTGGGAAATAATGTGGTGCTGGATGTTAAAATATCTGTGCAGATCTTTTACATCAGTGGTATAAGTGTATAAAATACCTGCAAGGGCAGTTTGTTCTGGAAGGGAAGGGGAGACAGGAGCTTAGCAGGATGAAGAAGCAGGCAGAACACTGTTCTCACTGGTGAGGGCCCAGTCTGACAGTAACCAAGCGAGATGAGCAGGGCAGGTGTGGTGACAGTAGGCAATCTGCCCAATCCAGTGGTCACCAGGTGAGGCCATAGTGACAAGGCAAGGCTGGGAAGTCAAATCTGCAGGTCAGGGTCTGGCTCAGCAGCGTACATGGGCAGACACAGGTACTTCTGAGTGAGCCTCAGCAGAGATCTCCCTGCTTGACTTGAGGCCTGATAGACTTTTAAAATCATTTTACAAGGTTTCAGGGGCCTGGTTTTTGTTCCTGATTCCTCTGTGTTCTGTTTGAAGGATGTCAGAGTTTTGCTAAAGTTCTGGAAACATTTACAACCTGCAGAGCCATGCTGGGAGAGATCCTGTCTGCCTATGAGTTCATGGATGAGAGGTGCATGGAATTGGTTGAGAGACATCTGAAGCTGACCAGCCCAGTGAGAGGTATCAGTGTCATTCATGCTGTAGAAAGAGGCATTGTACTGCTTAGTTTCTATGTTTTTTATATACACAGTGGGTGTGTGGGCATCAGTCATAATTTTGGTACCCAGTATTCAATTCCAAAGACATGTGATGGAAACCTTTAAGGATAAGATTTGTTACTTCTACTTGTTCCCACAGAACTGCCGGTTTTCTGAAAAGCAGCGGCTAGGTAAAGGATATAGCATGTAAGCAAAGTGTCCTAGAGATAAAACATTGACACTTGAGCTGCCCTTCCACTGGCACCTGAGAATCTGGGCATAGAGCAACCTTAGGAAATGTGCCAAGCTTGGGAATAGCTCCAGAACCTGCACTACATTCCTGTGCTTTTGCCCCAGAACATCTGGTTATTCTGTTCTCCCTCACTTTCAGACAGCCCTTTTTATGTTTTAATTGAAACTTCGGGCTCCAACTCAACCCACGATGAAGAAAAATTGAACAACTTCCTAGAACAGGCCATGACTTCTGGTTTGGTCACTGATGGAACTGTGGCAACAGATGAGAAGAAAATAAAGGTAAGTCATCATTTCCTCTTGCACAAATCTCTTTGACATGGTTCTCTACTTGGATTTGTGGTTTTTAGTAGGAAAATGTACAGACTGATGTTTGGTATAAATGTCCCTGAGTGACCTGGTACCTTATTTGCATATTGAGTAAGAATGCTAAGAGAGAATCCTTACCACTGCTGACTCTTCCCAGAAGGCCTGAGTATTTGGGGTTTCAATTTCCTCTTTTTTCTTTAAATAAGAATAATGTACTACATCTTTCAGTAGTTGCCGGGATAGGACCCAAACGGCCTGAAAGCTGTTGAAACCAGAAGTTGAGTTGTCAGGAGTGAGCTAAGTCCTGCAGGCCAGCAGGACAGGGGTGTGCTAGAGGCAGAGACTGTGTCCCTGGGAGCAGGATGGACACGTAGTGTTTTGGTGAGGACAGTGGTTTGTGTCCTGTGAATGTAAGACTTTTACACTGACCCATGTTTCTTCCAGCCCCAGCTCCAAAACCAACCCTTGCAGTTCAGTAGAGGAGGCACATCCCCAGGTCTTGGGAAACTCAAAACAGCTTTGGAGAGAATGCCCATGCCTGTGTTCATTCCCTCTGGGGTACTGGAAGCTTGAAGAGTTAGTGTATCAGTTCACTGTACAGTGCTGCCAAGAAAGTACTATTACTAGCTTTCAAGAGGTGGAGGATATCAAGGGAAATCAAATGTTGATGTTATATGAAAAGAATCAAGACTCTTTTTCCCTCCATGCCACAGTGCATGGAATCCAAGAGGTACTTGGTTTATGCAGATATCTTTTATCTTTAATTCACCAGACACTGTGGAGCCTGCGAGAGAGGATCACAGAGGCCCTAACTCATGATGGCTATGTCTACAAATACGACATCTCCCTCCCTGTGGGAAAGCTGTATGATCTCGTGACTGACACCAGGGCCCGCCTGGGCCCGAGTGCCAAAAACGTGGTGGGCTATGGCCACTTGGGTAAGTGTGGATGCTAGGAAATGAGCAATTGCTCTTTTGTGCTCCAGGTTTTGCTGGGCAACTTCCTAGTAGGTTTAAAGGTTGTTTTTTAGATTAGTGAGAGACATAGACTAAATAGCCAAGAGCTGCCAGAAGAGGGGGATGCACGAGGATGTTTGTGTTCGAATTTCATTGCTTTCAAAACTATTCCACATATAAATGGCAGGTTGCTAGACAGACGGCCACTGTATTCATAGAATCCCAGACTGGTTTGGGTTGGAAGGCACCTTAAGATCATCCAGTTCCAACCCCTGCCATGGGTAGGGACACCTTCCACTAGACCAGGTTGCTCCAAGCCCCTTCCAACCTGGCCTTGAGCACTGCCAGGGATGGGGCAGCCACAGCTTCTCTGGGCAACCTGTGCCAGAACCTCACCACCCTCACAGGGAAGAATTTTTTCACTCATATCCAATCTAAATCTCCCCTCTCTCAGCTCAGAGCCATTCCCCATTGTCCTGTCACTACAGGCTCGTGTAAGAAGTCCCTCTCCAGATTTCTTGTTGGCCTCTTTAGGCACTGGAAGCTCTAAGGTCTTCCCAGAGCCTTCTTTTCTCCAGGCTGAACAAGCCCAGCTCTCTCAGCCTGTCTCCTCAGAGCATCTTTATGGCCTCCTCTGGACTCGCTCAAGCAGATTCTATCCCTCTTATGTTGGGGGCCCCAGAGCTGAATGTAAGAGAGACGTGGATTCTTGCTCTCTACTTTTTATTGAAATATATAGGTTGTTTAATTGGACCATCAACTTGTACTTGGACACCTCTGGTAAACACTGTTTTGTCCAAAATGATCAGTCATATTGGAAAAATATTTTGTCTGAGGAATTAACCTTCCAAAAGAGAGTGATAAAGGTAACACACAGAAAGGCTGGTACATTTGTTAGGATGCTTTGAAACAGGTTTGATTTTACAAGCAGGTAAATTGATAGCTTAGCAGAGCTGTTCTGTTCAAAAGAAAACAAAACCAACAGAACACACAAGCACGCTTGATTTGAGATGATTTGAAAGACGTGGAGAGACAAAAAGACAAGCCTGCATAACGAAAGCTGCCTCTGGTAGCTCCTGGTAGTGGGCATTAAGCTGTTTACTGTGAGGGTTTGCTGGGATTCAGGAAGAGGTTCCAGAGTGGGAATGAGCAAGTTTTGTTTATCTTTGTGTGTTTTGTCTCCTGAATACCCAACAACTATGTGCTTAATTAAATACGTCACGCACAAGTGGCAAAAGGAGAAAATGTTCTGCTTGCTTTGTTTCTGTTGACACGTGCCAAAGTGCATTTAGAGCATTGCACAAACATAATAGGGAGAGAAAAAGTGATGAAGGGCCCTATTAAAATCTAATGATCATTATGAAATGCCATTGGGGCAGTCTTTGGCATGCCACCTCAGTAGCAGGACAATAACTGAGGCAACCGCAGTTTGAATTTTCAGATCACAATAACTGCAGTTTTAAAGTAGCTTAACTCAGAACCCTTCCACAAATGTTGCACTGAAAGCATGGAAAAACAAAGATCCTACTTGAATTATTTGTGAACGGAGACACTGGTGTTTGTAGAAGGATAGCAAATTGTCCTTTATGCAGTCTGGAGACTAACAAAGGCACTGTTGTTTGGGTACATGGAGGAGGCAGTAATGAGTCTCCTTTGTGGGACCACGGAGTGTTTCTTACAGACCCACCTCTGCAATGTTTTCTTACAGGAGATGGAAATTTGCACTTGAACGTCACGGCAGAATCCTATAACCATTCCCTGTTGGATGCCATTGAGCCCTTTGTGTATGAGTGGACTGCAAGATACAACGGCAGTATCAGTGCAGAGCATGGACTGGGTTTCAAGAAAAAGCAGTTCATTCAGTACAGCAAACCCAGGGAGGCAATCCATCTAATGCAGCATTTCAAAGCCATGTTAGATCCCAAAGGAATCCTCAACCCATACAAGATGCTGCCCTCCAGTTCCTGAGAGCAACACGCATGGAGAAGTGAGCAGATACCATCAGGCAAGGATGGCACCTGTAGCTCAGTACCTGCACTTTAACCATGAACATACTCATGGATCAAGCAAGCACTTGGAATGCTCCTTGTTTTAGTCCTTTAATGTGATGGAACAAGTAAAAAAACATGGTTCCTCTTTTTAGGGGTGTCTGCTCTTTCTGAAGAACACGTTAACTGCATTTGACTGTGTGAGTTTCCTGTTCAATCTGAGCACTGAAACCAAGCATGCAGCTGTTGTGTGTGGATATTCCAGCTCTCTTTCCCCTTAGTTTGGTCTGATTTAGTAGTGAAGTGATACCAGCCAGAGGAGGCTGGTGTCACACACTTAGGCTGTGCAAGTATCAGAAACACAGGACAAAAACATGGGGATGCTGTACCACATCTGACTGAAGGGCGGAACTCGAAAGGGTTGTAGTGAATGGGGCTGCATCTGGCTGGTGACTGGTCACCAGTGGTGTTCCTCAGGTCTCAGTCCTAGGGCCAACGCTGTTCAATACTTATCAATGATCTGGATGCAGGAGTTTAATGCAACATTAGCAATTTTGCTGACTGTACAGTCTCTGAGGGTGGTGAGACACTGGCACAGGTTGCCCAGGATTATGGCTGCCCCAGCTCTGGCAGTGTTGAAGGCTGGGTTAGACAGGGCTTGGAGCAACCTGGTCTAGTGGCAGGTGGTTGGAACTAGGTGATCTTTTGTCCATTCCAACCCAAACCGTTCTGTGATTCTAAGCTGGGAGTGCTGTTGAGTCACTGGAGGGACAAGAGACCTTGCAGAAAGAACTAGGTAGACTGGAGCATCAGGTCTACCTGATCTACCTGATCACACCAGCGCGTGCACAATCTAACATGGCCAAGTGCCAGATCCCACACCTGGCATAGAGTAGCACCAGGCACAAATACAAACTGGGAGAGAAGTGGCTGGGGAGCAGTCCTGCAGGGAAGGATGTGGGGTGCTGGGTGGCAGCAGGCTCCCAGGAGCCAGCAGTGTGTGTCCTGGCAATCGAGAGGACAAACTGCATCCTGGGGTGCATAAAACACAGCAAAACTGGAAGGCCAAAAGAGGTGATTGTTCCACTGTGCTCAGTGTGGCCTCACCTCAAGTACTGTGAGTAGTTCTGGGCCCCACTGTTCAAAAAGGATGTGAAGGTACTTGAATGTGTCCAGAGGAGGGTAACAAAGCTGGTGGTAGGGCTGGAAGCCATGTCCTGGGAGGAGCAGCTGAGGACTCTGGGTTTGTCTCCTTTGGAGAAGAAGAGGCCGAGGAGAGCACCCTCATTGCTCTCTACAGCTTCCTGAGAAGGGGACCGGGAGAGGGATCTGCTAATCCCTTCTCCCTGGGATCCAGTGATAGGACGCATGGGAATGACTCAAAGCTGTGCCAGGGGAGGTTTAGACTGGGCATTAGGAAGCATTTCTTCACTGAGAGGGTGGTCAAACAGTGCAACAGGCTTCCTGAAGAGGTGGTTGGTGCCCCAAGCCTGTCAGTGTTTTAAGAGGCAGTCGGGCAATGCCCTTAACAACATGCTTTAAATTTCAGTCATCCCTGAAGCAGACAGGTCATCAGTTGGACTAGACAATCATTGTAGGTCTTTTCCAACTATTTCCTTCTATTTTATTCTGTGATGTGTTTGGGTTTTTTTTTATGCTGGCTTTTATTTTTCCTCTACAGTCAGTCTTTGATCCTGAGAAGACAGGAGTGATAGTCATTTACAGCTTGGTGTACAAAACCACATGGTCACCCTGTCAGAGGACAGGCCAAGCCTTCTGCTAGTTAGTCATCTTTGGGTCTAATCAGTGTTTACGAGTCACATCTGTATTTACCAGTCCATGTCACTCTTAACCCAGACTGTTGTATCCAAATGAAGCAGATGGTTGGAAAAGCTCAGGGATTTACCAAAGGTAACTTGTGTTGATAACCCAACCACCTTCTACAATAAAATAACATTTTCTGTCCACATGGGGAGAGCAGTGGGGGGTATTTGCCTGGATGTCGGTACAGTGTCAGTCCTGTCGCCACTGTTTCCCACTGCTATCTCCTGGACAGGCTGGCATGACACACACCAGAGGGGTATCTGCAGGATGGACAGGAAACCAGCTCACAGGCTGTGCTCAGAGGGTGGTAATCAGTGGTTTCTACTCAGGTCTACTGGTTTGGGAGGCCTCATGGGCTCTGTGGGACTAGGAAGGATGGTTGTCTTACCCAGTAACTGCCTTGTCCATTAGCTGCTTTTCAGTGTTTTCTGCTCTTCCTCAGTGCCGTGAAATAGATCTTCCACCCAGAGCTTTTTTCTTGGAAGAAGATAATCCTGGAGAGTGTTTTTTTAGTCCTGTTTCTAACCAGAACATCATCTCTACAAGGCTGCAAGCATTTAAATTGCATTAAGGGTGGTGGCTCACACTCAGCACTGTGTTACAGCACCCTTCACAATATAATTCTACGGTCACAACTCTTTCAACTTGACTGCATGGATGCTTTTAACAGCAATACCTCCATCTGTTACTCGACCTGCAGTGTCAATATCTAGGCCTGCCTTCTGGTCTCTTCCCTTCAATTCCCTCTTTCACTCCACTATCAGTGCACTTCCCACCTCTCCCTTCATTCCTCAGTACCACTCAGAGAGGAGCTGATCGTTTTCTCCAGGGGTTAAGCAGGGTGAATGATGCTGTTGCTAGAGGCCAGAGTGTGAAACGCAGTCAGCCTGTGCTGCTGTTGTGCATCAGGTGATGCAAAACTACGGGAAGTCCAGAGAAGAAATGTACAGGATTTGCTTTCTGCCAGGTTAAGCTGATGCAGCTCGTTCTTTCTGGATCAGGCTGTTTATATCTCTGCCTTTTTCCTATGCCATTCTTTCTGTCCCCCGCCTCCCCCCTCAAACCACTGACCATAATTGTTTAAAATACACGTGAACTGTTCTTTTTGGGAAGCAGAACTTTCTATACTCCTTTTTTTCAGCTACATATGGAGAGAGTGCTGGGGAGGGAGTCGGGGCTGACAGACAACCTAGTGCTGTGGCTGGGGAAATCCTGGCACAGCTACATTTAGCCATCTTAACACGTGAAGATCCTTAAGCTCAATGTAAGTTTATTGTTTCAGCTAAACAATAGGGCACTTTACTGTGAGGGAGTGGAAGGGAGGAGTTATCACAGTGTTATTTCATAGTATCTTTCCTAGACCTAAAACATCAGCATGATAACACTCTTCCACATTCTCAATGATGCTTTCGAATATTGGTTCACTGTTGTATATAGGAGGGAGAGACAGGGTGGGTACATATGGGGGGATGAGAGGGGGGTGTACTTTTATAAAGAATCTTTTTGGTAGGAATTTCTTATCCAAAATTCTGGAGGTTTTTGCCTGGGCAGACTTAAATATTAGAACAGTGCTCAGCACTTTGAGGCTGTGGTCTTCTGGTGCAGTGAGGAAGAACTTGACTGTACTCGTTTTGCCTGGGATAGCTGATTTCTTCACAGTGGCTGGCACTGTGCTCTGCATTTGTGACCAGTGTTGGTAGCACAGGGATGTTGTAGCTGTAGCTGAGCCGTGCTTGCACAGCAGCAAGCTCTGTTCTGCTTCTTACCCAGCCCCACCAGCAAACTGGCTGGGGTGGTGCAAAAGGCTGGGAGGGGACGCAGCTGGGACAGCCGCCCCACCGTATGATGCTGTGCTCAGCAACAAAGGCTGGGGGAAGAAGGAGGAAGCAGGTGCCTGAAGCGGAGGCAGCATGGAGCTATTAATTCAGCATCCTGCCCCAGCTAACTAACTCCGCATCAGCGGGCTGACCTTCACTTGCAGTCTCTGAGCAGCCTGGCCCCACATGGAGCCAAATATTTCTGCATGGCACCATATATTCCTGCGTAACCATACCTGATGATTCATGTACAACACCCCAGGAGAGAGCAATGAATCAACTGTAACAGTGTGAAAAATGGCCTGGTGTGATTTGTGGCCTCTACCGGGTTCTGAGCAAGAAATCACACTGCTGACGTGTATAGTGTAACAGGAGACAGAAGTCTATTAAACGTGATGCCCTGCCAGCAGCAGCTGACACTGTGCCAGGAGTAAGCCTAGAAATTCTTTGTAAAGCAGCACACTGGTTCTCATTCTATGAAGAAACTCAAGCTCAGCAGCCCTATCCTTTGTTAATCTGTGAATCTTGATAAGCGCTGGAGCTGGGGCTGGCCTGAGGAAGCTGTGAGTTCAACAGAAATGCTGCATGTGTGGGCACGCTGGAGAGGTAGCAGCATAGGTGAAAGGTACCAGCACACTGAGGGCTTGGCTCTTGGTGTGGCAGGTTGGGGCACCAGCATACAAGGTTTAGAAAGGTGAGCTCCACGGGTGGGGAGGGAAAGGGGGCCATGTCAGGAGCTGCACGGGAAGTGGCATGGCCATAAGAGACCAAAAGCAACAGCTTAACCCCCTGCTCCAGGCTGGGAGGTGTGGGTGAACTGTTTGTTTACCAAATGAGGAGAGCATCGAACGTCATTCCTGGCATGTGGAGTAGGGAGATTACCCCATCTTGAGACCTGCAGGAGCCTCGGTGGAATCTCAGATTCCTGTGTAATGCAAGTTGTGATGTTAGTCACACCACAAAGTCACTTTATAAGCAAACTGTAAAAAACACATCTTTAGGGGCAGGAGCTCTCTCTCCCATGGCCTAGATTCAGCAAAGTCTTTAAGCTTGTAACCTCCAGCTACAATAATTACATTTTTACTGGGAAAGAATTTGAAACCTAAATGTTTTCAGGGGAATTTCCAGTAGGTGAACACCGCTCCTGTTCTGCTGCTCCCAATACCTTGTTGCCAAATGTGGCTGGCAGAGCATTACAGTCCTAAACCACCGAGCAAGAAGTGGAGGAAAGGCACAGCAGCACTGACCAAGGCACCAAGGAGTGTGGCTGTGGGCAGGGAAGGGGCACTGAACAAGTGATGTGATGGTGTGTGGGGTGACAAAGGGGCCAATGATGACCTCCTCCTGCCCCCTGCCAACAGCAGCATGCCAGGATAGAGTCCTCCATTGCCTTCCCCCCATAGCCAGGAGAGAAGGGGGTCCCCACTGATTTGTTCCTGCTAAATCGTTACTTCCCTGCAAAACCGTTGCACACCCCATCTCCTGAGGCAGCTTTCTACCTGTGTTAATGTCATGCCATAGCAGAGCTTTCCACGGCTTA